TGCCCCAAAAGAAAAAGTAGACTGAGAAGAGAAAAAGTTGCAGCTCCTGCTGATTCCACGGTGACACCAGTGTGTCCAGAAAAAGAAGTTGATTTATGTGATTTGGTGCCAGCTTATACTTTACAATGCCAATTTAACAAGTACCCAGACAAAACGTATGAAGCAGTTTTGGATTCGGGAAGTCCCATAAGCTTGGTGAGTGAAAATCTTATAGAAAACAGCGATATTTTGTCTTATGATAACTCTCAAAATTTTGTAGGATTAAATAAATCAAAATTAAATGTATTAGTGCTTTTCGAAGATATATTAAAGTTAGAAAATTGTGAAATTAAAATTTTATTTTATGTTGTTCCTTCAGAAACTTTGAACTTTGACATTCTTTTAGGCAGAAATTTCATTTCGAACAATAATTTAGAAATTACTTTTGGAGAAAAAATTAAGGTTCAGTTGAAGCCTCAAAGTTTTGAATTTAATGAAATTTGTTTAATTCAATATGCAGATGAGAATGACAGTCCAGAATTGGATATTAATGAATCGATTTTGCCTAGCCAGAAACATGAATTTTATAACATTTTTCAAAATTTTTACCTTAATGCTGAAAAGCCTAAGAAACCTTCTATTGATTATGAGATGAAAATTCATCTGAAACCAGATAGTAAATCTTTTTTTTCCAAGCCAAGACGTCTTTCGTATTTTGAACAAAATGAAGTTGAAAATCATATTAAAGAGCTTTTAAAAGAAAATATAATTAAAGAGTCCGAATCTAACTATGCTTCCAGGATTGTTTTAGTAGAGAAGAAAAATAAGAAAACAAGGCTTTGTATTGACTTTCGAGACCTGAATAAGAATGTTTTGCGTGATAATTTTCCATTGCCCATTATAGAGGAGCAGGTTGAGAAATTAAAAGATAAAATTTATTTTTCTAAGTTAGACCTTAAAAATGCTTTTTATAATGTAAAAGTTAGAGATTGTGATACTAAATATTTAAGTTTTGTGACACCTAATAATCAGTACGAGTTCTTGAGGGCTCCTTTTGGGTTCTGCAATAGTCCTGCTGCTTTCAATCGATTTTTAAATTTAATTTTCAAAGAACTGATAACCAAAAATCAAATTCTTCTATATATGGATGATTTACTTGTTTCAACTTTCACTTTATCTGAGCATCTTGCTGTTTTTAAGGAAGTATTCCAGCTTTTAGTAGACAACCTTTTAGAGTTACGTTTGGACAAGTGTTCATTTCTAAAAAATGAAATCAGTTATCTTGGATATTCAGTAAGTTCTCAAGGAATATCTCCATGTAAGGAACATATTAAATCTGTTGTGAGTTTTCCAGTTCCTAAGAATAAGAAGGAACTTCATAGTTATATTGGTCTCATTTCGTATTTTCGGAAGTATATACCTAATTTTTCACTTGAAGCTAAACCCCTATATGATTTATTAAAAAATAATGTTGATTTTAAATTTGGCCAACAGGAAGTCCAAGTTTTTGAAAAATCCAAAACTATTTTGTCCAGCAAACCAGTTCTTAGTTTGTACTCTTCAAAGGCTGAAACACAACTCCATTGTGATAGTAGTTCTTTAGGATATGGAGCCATATTGATGCAAAAACAATCAGATTCAAAATTTCATCCAGTCATGTTTTTTAGTAAGAGAACAACAACAGTTGAATCGAAATACCATAGCTATGAGCTAGAGTGCCTTGGAATTATTTATGCAATAAAGCGTTTCCATGTTTATGTTCAAGGAATTTCTTTTAAGATTATTACCGATTGTGATAGCTTCCGTTTGGCTTTAAGTAAGAAGGACATTTCTCCAAGAATTATGAGATGGGCAATTTTCCTAGAATCCTATAATTATACCATTGAACACCGTAAGAATCCCCAGATGAGGCATGTGGATGCTTTGAGTCGTTGCCATAATATTTTGGTGCTTGAGGAAAATTCTTTTGAGCAACTTTTGTCCATTAAGCAATACTCTGATGATGAAATAGTTAAGTTGAGAGAGTCTTTAGAAAATAAAGAATCTTCATTCTTTGAGCTACGCAATGGTCTTGTTTATAGAAAGGACAGAAAAAATGGTAATTTGTTATTTTATGTTCCCAGGTCTTTGCAGGATAATGTAATTAGAATGTATCATGACAACATGGCTCATGTTGGAGCAAAAAAGACATGTAACTTGATTCTCAAAACCTACTGGTTTCCCAACTTGTGTGATTCTGTAAAAAAATATATTTCGAAGTGTCTTAAATGCATTCATTATTCACCAAATTATGGAAAATTTGAGGGTGAGCTGCACAGTATTCCTAAGGGTAAAGTGCCTTTCGACACTATTCATATAGATCATTATGGTCCACTTGAGAAGTGCAAAAATGGTGATCGTTACAAACTTGCAGTTATTGATGCCTTCACCAAGTTTTGTAAACTATTTCCTTGTCGTTCAGTGACAACCAAAGAGGTTGTCAAACACATGAAAAATTATTTTGTGAGCTATAGTAAACCTAAACAGTTGATTTCCGATAGAGGTTCTTCCTTTGTTTCCCATGATTTTGACGATTTCTTGAAGGAACATGATATTAAACACATTTTGATTGCAACTGGTGCACCTTGGGCCAATGGCCAAGTTGAAAGGCTCAACCGAACTATGGGTCCAATATTGCAAAATTGTGTGGAAGTGCTGATAAATGGAATAAGATCTTGAATGATGTAGAATTTGCTATTAACAATACGGAATGTAAAAGTACAGATGTATCCCCTTGTAAGTTATTATTTGGTATTAATCAGAGAGGTTTTATTGAAGATTCCCTTAGTCCATTTTTGAACAAATAAATCCTGAAAAGCATTACGATTTAGAGACATAACGGGAAAAAGCCTTTCAAAATATAGTTAAATCCCAAAATTACAGTAAAGTTCGTTTCGATAAGGCGCATAAGCCACCAAAAAAATATAGTGTGGGGGATAAAGTAGTAATTACTAATAATGTAACTACTCCCGGGGTGAATAAAAAGTTAATTCCGCGTTTTAAGGGTCCATATGAAGTGGAAGTAGTTTTGCCTAATGATAGATATATCTTAAAAGACGTCGAAGGGTTTCAAGTCACCCAGATTCCGTATCACGGTACTATTGATGCGTCTCATATTAAACCTTGGTTGAGTGATTCTGGCCAGTCAGAAAGCGATTCAACTGACGAATTAGAATCTGAATGAATTTGTATAAACATCCTTATTCGACTTAACAATATTGTATTTTATGAATTATGTTTTCCAATTATGTTTACTATGAATTATGTGTTTATGATTATGGGTTATGTCTAAAAAAAACTATGTTATTATGTTTATGAATTATGCATTATAATATGAATTATGCTTGGAATTATGCTTATTATGAATTATGGTTTATGCTCATTATGAATTATGTTTAAAACCCATTATGATTACATTATGAAAATTATGTTACCCCTTTTGTGATTATGCTATGCCCAATTTATTAAGTATTAAGTTATGATTTTGTTAAACCTCATGTTTATTATTGTAGTTGGAGTAGTATATAATGTTCATTTATTTTATGATCGGGTCGATCATTGGTCAGATTGGCCGAACTGTTATGTTATTTTGTGTTCTAGAGTAGAGCTCTTGCTTGTTCTGCTGTTCTGCTTCGATGACATTTAACAGTCTGTGTTGACAGATGTGACTTGACTTTGGACAAGACAAAAATTAGAGCGGAAAAACAACAGGGCAAGCGGTAGCATGCGATTCGATTAAAAAACGTTTATGAAATTATGTTTTATGTACCAAGAGTCATTTGATGTGAAATAAATCCCCGTTAAGAAAGTTCCACAAATTTTATTACTCGATCCTGACCCCACCCTAACAAATTAGGGTTTTATTTTTCAAGTAGAGATTATTGTATGAATTTATAAAAATAAGTTAGTAATACCTGTATTAATAAACAAATAGGTAATTATTTTGGGTTTTTCATTAGTAGTCAGTAAAGGACTTAGAAATTTTAAAGAATTTATAGAAATAGGTGAAGGGCAGTTATATTATGGAATGAATCGGAAGTGTTGAAATAAGTTAACTTATAAGTTATTGGGAACAGTAGGAATAGGGCGTTTCTTTATTTGTATTGATATTTCAGTGGTCCGTAATAATAACAATTTTGAACGGATGTGAAGTAATTGAATTAGAAAAATAGATGAGGCTGTAGAATTGGAAGATATTTTGCTGATTTAAATTTTTGGGTTTTATGTATAATAAAATATAATTTAGTAAACCTCAATAGTTTGTTTCTCTCTCTTGCAAATAGACCCTTCCACAGATTTTAGGTAGCAGCTCCAAGTAAATAAACACCATCAATATACCGCTCGCCATTTACCATCTAACTAATTATTACATAGAAAACTTGGGGCGTTTTGCTACAATATCTTTGTTGTCCAGAAAAGACTAATAAGAATAATAAAAAAAATGGACTACCTTCAGAGCTGTAGATCAGTATTTAAATGTATGGGTGTTATGACAGTATATGCAGTCTACTTTTATGTTATGCTTAATGTTCTTCTTTCGCAATAAACACATTTCTGATAGTAAAACGGAACACACAAACAACATTAGAACATTGAATTTTGAGTATAAGCCACATAGACTGACTTTAACAGAAAAATCACCCCATTATATGTGTGTCAAATTCAATACGCTCCCTGACCCTAACCAAATACAAAATCTTAGTTCAGGTAAAAAAATTTAAATAGATATTAAGAAATTGTTAGTAAACTTAGAACCATATTGTTTAAGAGATTTTAGTCCAGATCTATAATAATTTTGTAACGTTGTGATCTTTTGCCTCTGTTTCATTTCATGTACTCTATTGTATTATTGTATTTTGATCTTGAATAAAGAAATTTATTATTATTATTAGTTCTGCTGCCTACCTGGTCTTTTGATGAGGCCGAAATTAATTATTCTAAAAAACTAAAACCAGCCACCTCTTAAGTGTTTTGAAAAATAATAATTCAATGAAGATAAGGTATGTAGGTATAATTTGACAAAAAAACTTATTACTAACAAAATACACTTAATATCTTTGAAATCCTCCTCTAATTCCTCTCCTTTGATAAGGAACATGACCATCTCTACCTCTACCCCTGCCTCTACCCCTTACAGGCGCAGCAGAAACATTCCTAGGAAATGGTGGATAATTTGATTGTTCAGGTGAAAAATATTGATCCCTTCGACGGTAATCCTCTTGTCTCAGATCTCTTGCAGCCAGCTGTCTTCTAGGCATGTCGTTATTTTCATGAGTAGGTGGAGGTTGTCGAAAATCGACATTTGAAGGCAAATATGAATCATCATTATTATAAAAAGTGCGGCTTTGATTGTGTTCCATTGATGATTGGCCTTTATAATTATTTTCAGGATGATCTCTAGCAGATTGAACTCTATAATTATTTTCAGGATGATGCCTATCAGATTGACCTCTATAATTATTTTCATGGGGATCCCTAGCAGATTGACCTCTATAATTATTTTCTTGAAGATCTTCAGGAGATTGACTTGTATAATTATTTTTATGATGATCCATCGCAGATTGACCTCTATAGTTGTTTTCATGACGTTCCCTAGGAGCTTGACTTCTATAATTATTTTCATGATGTTCTTTAGGAGATTGACCTGTATAATTATTTTCAAGGTGATCCCTAGCAGATTGACCTCTATAACTATTATCATGTTGATCCTTAGGAGATTGACTTGTATAATTATTCACATGGTGATCCCTAGTAGATTGTCCTCTATAATTATTTTCATGAAGATCCCTAGCAGATTGACCTCTGTAATTATTTTCATGAAGATCCTTAGTAGATTCATCTATATAATTATTTTTATGATGATCCATAGCAGATTGACCTCTATAGTTGTTTTCATGACGATCCGTAGGAGATTGACCTCTATAATTATTTTCATGATGACCTCTACCTGTATAATTATTTTCATGGTGATCCCTAGCACATTGACCTCTATAATTATGTTCATGATGATCTTTGAAAGTTTGATCTGCATAATTATTTTCAAGGTGATCCCTAGCAGATTGACCTCTATAATTATTTTCATGAAGATCCTTAGGAGATTGACCTGAATAATTATTTTCATAGTGATCTCTGTAATTGTTTTCACGATCCCTAGCAGATTGACCTCTATAACTATTTTCATGATGATCTCTTGCAGATTGATCTCTATAGTTAGTTTCACGATTCGATATTGGTGATCTAGATCTCATTTTTGGAGATGACCTGCCCAATAGCGATTCAGGTCTAGATCGTTCATGCGTTGGCTTGTTGTCAACGTGTAGTGGAGGTGGACATATTTTTTCTTCACCTTTACAAGAAGAATTAGTTTTTCGATTTTGTTGTGGTGGAGAGGCGGGTCTGTCGTTTTTTTGTCTTGGAGGTAAATGTAGTTGATCATCAGTTTTTGATTTGCTGGATTGAGCATCTCCTTTTGACTTGACAAGTGATTTTTTCCTAAGAGATTTGGTTTCTGATGATCGTTTTTGTTTAGTCCTGTCTTTAGAACGGTTATGCTCCTTCGGTGGAGTTTTTGGCCTTTTTCTCTCTTTGGAAGTAGACTTTCTTCTAGTCTTAGAGGATGATTTTATTTCATGTCTAACGCGATGGCGACGTTCTTCATCTTCCCTTTGGCGTTTTTCTTTTTTTTCTTTCATTTCCAAAGCAATTGGCTTTTTGAATGGACGATCCCTGCCGCCAAATCGTAATTGACCCGATTCCTTTTTACCACCGAATCCGCCACCTAAGCGTCTAGGTTTCCAACCTTTCAATAGTCTTTCGCACTCAAAATCAACAAAAATACGTCTTTCGTCCACCAGCATTTTATTGGCCAGCCTGTAGGCTTCCTCGGCGCCTCGTTCCTCTTCGTATTCGACAAAGGCGTAACCTTTCGACATGCCCGTTACGATATCTTTGATTATCCGAAATCGTTTCAGTTTGCCGTATTTTGAAAATATCTCTTTTATGGTTTCTTTGGTAGTTTCGTGGTTGAGACGGCTAACAAAGATGGTACATTCAGGCCGACCTGATGAAAAGGACAGTTATTAGGTCAAAATGTTTTTAATTTAAGGCAATTTGTATTAGTGTAATCAGTTAAATTGTAGCTCTTCTTTGAGAGACAATAAACAATGATATCTCACTTGGAACTTTTGAATTGCCATGACACCCACCTCAAAAATATTTCAAAATTCAAACAGTATTTGTCTAACTTAGGAAAAGCTATGTTTAGTCACAAAAAAAAAACAACTCACCTTTCACGAATCGATTTGGATTGTAAGTAGCATTCAGGGCTCTCAAGACTGCCTTGTCGTGGGGATCGCAGTCAGTGCCATCAATTGAGGCACACTTAATCGGATCATAAATTTTTGCATATTTTGACCAAGATTCCATGTTTTCTGAAATAAGGGAATAATATTAGTAAAGAAAAGAAAACGTCACATGTTTGTGATGTTAGTGAATGAAATGAAACCAGTGATTACAATGATTGCATAGTGGTGGCTGGTTAGGGTAAAAGTTGGCGGTGCACACCTCGGGGGAAGCCACGCCCAAATTTCGATCTAAAAGTCGTTAAAAAAGCACGCCTGAGGTGGAAGTCTGTAACGGATAGAGATCGTTATCCCTATCGCTATGACAGTTGCTGTCTTTCCCTCCCTTTCTGAAATCAATAGAGAGGGGACGTCAATAGAGATAGAGAAAATATCTCTATTCGTTACAGAGTCCCATCTCTGGAGTATGTGTCACTTTTACCAAAAAATTCTGTATATTATTTTTCTATTTTCTGACCACCCTGTACATGCTATTTCAAGTTTTAATAGTTTCAATAGTTTTTTCCATAGCCTTTAATCTACTAAGAATAGTAGATAAAGTAGTACTTTAACCGCAAGGGTGGACTAAATGATACTTCAACAGCAAGGATAGATAATAGTTATTTATGATATAAGTGCTAAAAGTGACATTTTATTTTGTGAAAAGGGATGTTTGTGGCCGAAGGCGGAGTGTTCCATCCCTTTGAACAAAATAAAATCGCTTTTAGCACCAGTGTCATAAAATGGCATTTAAGACACTGACAATATCCATTAAAAATGACACTTTTAGTGACGTTTGTAGAAAAAGACGTTTATTTTGTCAAAAATATATACATATTTTGTTTTTTATTTATTTTTCAAAGATTGTCAAACGAATTTCTACTTATGCAAAAGTGTTCGACTCAAATAATTTCTAAATATTTTTGATACTAGAGACGTTAAGAGCTTGCGGTAAAGTACACTTTTCCGCACGCTCGTAGATAATAGTTATTTACCTAACAAATGCAGAAAGTGATACTTTACCGCACGCAACGGCAAGCCGTTAAGTGCGGTAAAGGCACTTTCCGCATGTGTTAGGTACAAAATTTTACCTATGAGCATCTACATCTCCAAAAAAAAGCATTGATAAAATTAATTAATGAATCAGATTAATTAATGAAATTAGATAAGATTTAGAAATGATCAAAAATCCATTTTCTGAAAGAGAGAGGATTTTGTATTATAAATATCAAATTCTACTTTACCGCACACTATGCGGTAAAGTGCACTTTACCGCACACTTTGTATTCTACTTTACCGCATACTATGCTGTAAAGTTAACTTTACCGCATACTATGCGGTAAAGTGCACTTTACCGCATAGTGTGCGGTAAAGTGATACTTTCCATTTGCAAATACGTGCGGTAAAGTGCACTTTACCGCACGCTCGTAGGTAAAAAAAATTTCACGCCAGTCCTTTGGTAAACAAATTGCTTGAAAACGGATTTTTCGACAGGAAAAATTAAAAGCACGAGTGGTTTTTGATAAGAATGTTTCCTTACTGAGCAAATAATACGGGGTGTCCGGTAAGTATATGGCATACTCTCGGGAGAGTATAGTAGGGGTCAAAATAACCCTACTTTGTTCTAAAAAAAAATTCCTAAAGTGCCCCTTAACGGAGATACAGAGACCCAAAAAAGTAATTGGCGATACACATTTTTGGCTCTAACTTTTGAACCGACTTGTATAATTTAATGAAGTTTTGATATTTCATGTTGGCTATAAAGACTCATAAAATCATCCTACTGTAGATATTTCACATACTCTGGGAAGTCAGGAACGGACTTGCCACCATATTCATTTTGACAAATTTTTGACAGGAGTCATTTTACACAGCTGAAAACTGATTTTTTAAATACTCTGGTCAATTTTCTTCAAAAAAGGTACTCTTCATTTGTTTCGATTAAATCAGCCGTTTCCGAAAAAAATAGGTTTTTGTATAACACCTTCAATCATTTATCTTCGAAATTTATTTAATAATCAAGTCGATACCAGATTAAGAAAAAACAGATAGAAGTTGACTAATAAAAAGTACCTGAAAACGACCCTTTTTGCCATAAAAAGGTACTTTTTATAAGTCAACTTTTACCTGTTTTTCTTAATCTAGAATCAACTTAATCATTAAATAAATTTCTAAGGGAAATGATTGAAGGTGCGTATACAAAAACCTATTTTTTTCGGAAAGGGTTGATTTAATCGAAACAAATGTAGAGCACCTTTTTTGAAGAGAAATGACCAAAGTATTTAAAAAATCAGTATTCAGGTGTGTAAAATAACTCCTGTCAAAAATTTGGCACAATGAATATGGTGGCAAGTCCGTTCCTGACTTTCCAGACTATGTGAAACATCTGCTGTAGGACGATTTTATGAGTCTTTATGGCCAACATAAAATATCAAAACTTCATTAAATTATACAAATCGGTTCAAAAGTTAGAGCCAAAAATGTGTATCGCCAAGTACTCTTTTGGGGCTCTGTATCTCCGTTAAGGGGCACTTTAGGAATTTTTTTTTAGAATAAAGTAGGGTTATTTTGACCCCTACTATATGCTCCCGAGAGTGTGCCATATACTTACCGGACACCCTGTATATTTTTATTAATTTATTAACCAGAGTTGGCAGGATATATATCAGCGATAAATATCCTGATATATATCTTGATAAATATCATGATATTTATGTTATCTCAAAAATTCTTAAAATCACTTTAAAAAAAAACACTAATTTATTTTAAAATACAAGTTACAAATAAAATCGGACATTAACTCAACTATACTAAATATTGACGAATAATGACGCTTAAGCTAAAGAGACAGGATCTTTTATAATTAAAAATATGTCGATCTTGCTGTTTCTATGGACCAGAGTTCTTGGCGTGACATGTTCTCACAGGATAACTTGCTGAAGTAGCATCTAGACTTTGTAATACTTTGTACCACTATGGTGATGAAACGCGTCTTGAGGTCAATGTAGTCGTGAAATCCATATAACATTTATGCCATAAATATCATGATATATGTCAATATTAATTGTTTGGTTTTCTTTTCTTATTTTATAGTTTTATTATTATATGTTAAGAAGTTTAACGGCTGTAGTAGTATATTTATGAGGAAGAAATCACAGGGATCTGGCCAAAACAGTCTACAGGGTGTTTGGCGGAGTGATAGCCAAACTTGGTGGGTGTATAGATAGGCCCATTTCGAAGATATTTCATTAATACACTAGTCCCCTTAAGGTCCCCGTTTTTTTTATATCATTGCTTTTGAATTATTCTCAAGAATTTTCAAAAATGGACCTTTTAACTTCTGTAACTTTCATCAAGATCAAAAATACCCTACGGACCAAAAACACACGAATAAAACATTTTCATAAACATTAAAAAAAAAGTTACAGAAGTTGAAAGGTCAATTTTTGAAAATGAACAATACGAAAGCAATGATAAAAAAAGGGGGACTCAAGGCCACAAGTTTATTATTAAAATATTTCCGAAATGGGCCTATCTATACGCCCACCAAGTTTGGCTAACCCTCCGCCAATCACCCTGTATATTACGTCATGTATCAATTATTATTTTATATATTTTTATTTGTGTATAAGAAATATCAGGTTTTTTAGGGTGGGTATTATGAAACTATTTTGACAAATAACGAAATGTTAACTCCTGGAATTACTATGAGAAGTACCGTCATTCCAGAAGTTAACTTCTAGTTATTCTGTCAAAATAGTTTTATAATATCCGCCCTTAGATGTAGTTTTCTTTTTGTTGTTGAGTTCAGAGTTGTCATTTTTTTGTTGTTGTTGAACCCCGTCTTAAGGCAAACATAAGTAGTATAAATGACATAAATGTTTCTATATTCTTAAACTCGAATTTTTATTTACCTACGTAACACTCTACATTTCTGTATATATGTATAGGAGATAGGAGCACTAAAACTTGTTATCGTCTTATCAACTTTACATGTTTGTAACATTTTATTAAATTTACCATGAAGTTATTTTGAATTTTAATAATATACTAGCGGACCCGGCGAACTTCGCAACGCCTCAGAATCAATAAATGTTAGGTTAACGCATTAGCTTAATTAAATTCAGTTTTTTAATAAGATAAAATGATTACTAACAATAAATTATGTGGTTCAATAAATGTTCAAAAATCAAAATGGAACAAACCGCGCAATCTGACGCGGCAAACTTGGTATCGGTTATAAGACATGGCGCCGTATGCATATTTAGTGAATTTTCTTCATAAATATGTTTTTCTTTTTCTTGTGTTTTTTTTAATATGTTCCAATGTTCCAATAGTTGTTATGTAATTCGGGCCAGACAAAAATCATAAAAATCGGCCTAGCAGTTCTCGAGTTATAAGTTCTGCAACCAACCCGACAGATAGATAGATAATACAGTTACGTCAGTTGAATGCGAAAATTTGAATTTTTAAATTTTTTAATGAAAAAATAATACAGTTACGTCGGTTGAATGTGCAAACTTAAATAAATGTGGCAACGTTGTTTCATATTGTCAGAAAAAGTTGGGTCATGTATGTGAATAAGTTTGTTTATAATTAATTAAAAATTAATTTTGTTTTCCGAGAAAAAATGTAGCCTATACTTACTCCCTTTATATAGTGACTAATGGCCATTTGCACGGCTATCCCTTAACTATCACTTAAGGGATATTAAATGTAGGTGAAGCTTTGAATGTGACTTTTGTTTCTACAAGAGTCACATTCAAAGCTTCACTTGGATTAAATATTCCTTAAGTTATAGTGGTGCAAATGGCCGTAAGTGGTATAAATTCCAAGGAGATCGGTCCAGTCGTTCTTGTGATCTAAAAAATAATACAGTTACGTCGCGTCGGTTGAATGCACAAGCTCAAATAAATGTGGCAACGTTGTTTCATGTTCTCAACAAAAAAAGTTGGGTCATGTATGTGAATGGGTTTGTTTATAATTATTAATTAATTAAAAATATTTTTTTTCCGGGATAAAAAGTAGCCTATGTCACTTCCCTTCAGATAGAGACTACGTGGTTTAAATTTCAAGGAGATCGATTCAGC